TACAGATCAGCTTTAAATTTGCCTTACTTGCTTTTGTTTTTTAAAATGAAAGTAAGAAAAACCCAAGTTTTCTTTAGAATTCACCTGTGTTGTCAGTTATGAATATATTTTGTTGCATCGGGAATTATGATGGGGAGGGTTTGCAAATACACTCTTACAGTGGCAAACAATGGCACACGCAATGCTCATACAACAGGACCGTTTTCTGAGTAGTAACTGTTTATTCTAAAGATAAAGTCCCAGGAAGTGATTTGCTATCATGTCTTCATTTTCCAGTCTAGCCTACTGAATAGCTGTTGTTGTGTCTTGTGGTAATGAATTCCACAGGTTAATTACATGCTGTGTGAAGAACTGTTTCCTTATGTCTTTTCTAAATCTCCTCTTAATCAGCTTGGTAGGCTATTATCTGTTAGTGTCCCATCTAGAATAGAATAGAATTTGATTGGACACACAAGGAATTTGTCTTTGGTGCATATGCTCTCAGTGTACATAAAAATACAAGATACATTCATCAAGAATCATAAGGTACAACACTTAATGATAGTCATAGGGTACAAATAAGGAAACAATCAATATCAATATAAATCATAAGGATATAAGCAACAAAGTTACAGTCCTGCAGTCATAAATGGGAGGAGATGGGTGATAGGAATGATGAGAAGACTAATAGTAATAGTAATGCAGCCTTAGTTTGACAGTGGTGAGGGAATTATTTGTTTAGCAGAGTGATGGCCTTTGGGAGGAAAAACTGTTCTTGTGTCTAGTTGTCTTGGTGTGCAGTGCTCTATAGCATCGTTTTGAGGATAGGAGTTGAAACAATTTATGTCCCAGATGCGAGGGGTCTGCAAATATTTTCATGGCCCTCTACTTGACTCGTGAAGTGTACAGGTCCTCATCTAGCCATGTCCAATTCTATGTACCTTTTCAAGAACCATTTGTTCTTCTATCTTCTATTTAAATTCCACCCATCTTTTAGGATATTCATGGTAGAAAACATTGGTTTCTCCTTTTAGTCTCACATCACACTAACTTTACACCAGTCCTGTAAAGTGCATTATTCAAAGCCAGAGGTAGATAATTTTTTACATGTTGTGTTTTCCTTTTAATTTTTTTTCAGCCTGCAGAGGCTGTCGGTGAGCCAAAATGTTCAACCTGTTTTTAAGTCTTATTTTTGGAAGTTTGGTACATTAACATACTGTAAAACAGATATGTGTATTGCTCTGGAAGCTTAGGGGATTTTAAAAAAAAACACCTTACAATGTCAAAAGGCAAAAATCCCACTCTTTCTTTTGAAAAGAAAACTAGAACAAGGTGGTATTAAAACTCCGCAGCATTGCACTGCGAAAAATGCTATCTTGCTACCAAATTGCTGAAATGCAATCCAGAGATGTTTGGGAGAAATGCAAAAATGAGGCTGGGGTATTGTGTGAGATCCAAGCACAGCTAAGCTACATTAAGCTATATTACCAAAAAACAATAGTGTTGAAGAGGAAGCAGCATTATTTTGAATTGCAGAGAGGTAGCTGTCTTAGTCTGTAGCAGGAAAAAAAAACATAAAATATTTTCATAGTACATTAACAGCCCAAAGATGTACGTAGGTTATAATCCTTTGTAGTCCAGATTCCAGTTTTATCACAGGCATGAGATCGTATGCCTTCAATGTACTCAGTATCTGAAAAATGAATGCTTTTGGTATCATTTTGGTGAGGATTTGCCTGGCAAGCATTTCCAATAATATTAGCTGGAAAGAGGTAACTTTGGTTTTGCCATTCCCTTTTTAAAAATTAAAAGCATTTGAATGAAAAAAGGAGATTACTCACTAGTCTCTGTATGACTCTGCTTTCTCACTTTTTCTCCTTTTAGTCAGCCTTTACTAAGAATAGCTGTTTTTACCCTGTTTCTAAGTTAAGTAAGATTGAAAGATTTGCTCAGACTGGATAGAGCAGAATTAGTCAGAGGAGTAATTTCTGTTTTGCTTTTCTACGGGATATACTGCAGATAGTCCTTGACATATGACTGCAATTAAGCTCAAATTTCTGTTGCTAAGTGAGATGGTTATTAAATGGGTTTTGCCACATTTTACAACTTTTCTGGTTGACTTTCACAGGTTAAGTGAATTGCTGCAGTTGTTAAGTTAGTTAAATAAATCTGGCTTCCCCATTGACTTTGCTTGTCAGAAGGTCGCCAGATGTGATTCTATGACCCCTGAACGCTGCAACAATCATGAATAAAAGCCAGTTGCCAAGTATCCAAATTTTGATCACATGACCACTGGGATCCTGCAATAGTTGTAAGTGTGAAAATGGTCATAAGTCAATTGCATTGTAGCTTTGAATGGTCACTAAATGAATGGTTGTAAGCTGAGGACTGCTTGCACTGTGGTCTTCAAACAATGAGAAGGAATAATGTGAACAAGGGATTCATACTATGAGATGAGAGGGGAAGGTTATGTTTTTAGCCATCAGAAGTCAGGATTGAACTAGCATTAGGGAATACAACTAGATTTTAGTCCAAATTCATCATTTGCATTAAAAAGTTAGAATTCACTGAGTTAAGTGAAGTATTTTACCTGGCAGGAATAGCTGAATCCCAGCAATATGATTGTGACATTTGCCAACATCAAATATATGACTAGTATATACTATTTACTACTGTGCTCTCTATTGGTCCTGTAACATCATGCCTTGGAACATGACAAACCCTTCTATAGAATGAGGCTTTCAATTTCAGTATGAAAGTGATTCTGATGGCCGTATCCAAATGAGCTAATCATTCATATAAGCCACAGCCTCAAAACATATTTGTTAAGATGAGAAGATATAGCTATCTTCCTTGAAATAAGGAGACAGCCAGGTCCTGTAACAATTCTCTAAGACAGTGTTTCTCAACCTTGGCCACTTGAAGATGTCTGGACTTCAACTCCCAGAATTCAGCATTCGCTGGCTGGGGAATTCTGAGAGTTGAAGTCCAGACATCTTCAAGTGGCCAAGGTTGAGAAACACTGCTCTAAGATATTTCATTTTTCAAGAGAAGAAAACAATCTGGTCATT